CAATTGGATGAACCCAGTACACTGTTAATTATGAAGCTAGGTAAATACGAATTGATCATAACTAAATCTGTATATCCAAAACAAAGGGCTACATAATCACAAAATTTTACATTCAACTTACCCAATAATGCATAGTGGCTTAGGAATGGTTTCGATTATAAGTAGTCCAACATTTTTCATTGAACACCCTAAAAATTAGAATCAGAAATAGATATAAATGGTTTGTACACTTTGAAAAATTGACCATATCAAATTTTAGTAATGTCGAATTTTGACATATTTTGGTATTATCGAATTTTGGTAACATTGGCTTTGTTTGGTTTGATGCCTTTACTACATTTTGATGCCTTTAAGAGAGAACTTCTGGAACTGCCAAAATTGAGTAACATTGTAATAGTTGAAGTGTGTTTACTACCAAAATTTGGCAATGCTAAAATTCGGTAAGATTGAAAGTGGCAACAAACTTAAACATTCCCCAAATCATCCTTCCATAGTCTTTTCCAATTCCCTACTTTCCTATTCAAGAAAATCAGCGTGCCTGTTGGAAAACCAACTTATAGCTAGTACATATTTACTTATTTAAAATAGTTATTGTTGTTGCTGTTAAGAGTTTCGAATGCAATATTTTTTTTTGAAAAAATATATACACTTGTTCATTTAGAAGAAACTATTTAATGACTTTTGAAAAGGTTGAGGAACAATTAACCTGTAGTAACCATATTCATGTAAAGATTTTAAGCTTTGTTAAAGCATTACTACGGAAAACAAAATTAAAAAAACTTTATTTTCTTTTATTTGTAATACTTGTCTATTTACTTTCAAACCTTTTCTTGTGCTAATTAATCTATTAGTGCCACATACTTACCTCTATGGTCAGTATATGATATTCCCTCCATCTATATTTATCTCACAATATAGAGATTGTCAGGCTGATTAGCTAATCATAGGTAAAATAGAATACAATTAGAGCAATATTGGCCCTGTCTGGATCATAGGTATGTTAATCTATGGTTAACGGATGATTACTGTAGCATCACTATAACAAATCATCATAGATTAATATACCTCGTTAGATTCGTCTCGCAAAATAGTCTACAGGTTATGGAATGGGTTTTGTCAGTAATGTACGTTTAATACTTCTAAATAGCAAGATTCCGGAGGACTATTTAATAGCCCTTCGGATCCAAACAGGGCCATTGTCAACAATTAGAGTAAATATGGTTAGTTTATGCATGGCTAATTCTTATGTGTCGTATTTAGTTAACTGTATTTGTCTGGTGAATAATTATATTTCAACTTTTTAAAAAAGATTTGTAACGGATAGTTAACTACTTTAAGTGTATCTGTATGCCTTTAACAAATACTACTTTGGAAGATATTTCTTTTAAATTAGTAGGATTTACAAAATTTATCAAATTACGTGAAAATTACAAAATTTAGATTGCATATTTTTTAAATAAATAACTCCTATCATCCACTCAATATAGAGTCATAATAATATGTTACTCTTTGTACATCAGACCAAACAAGTCTTGAAAAGTCAAAACTTCTAAGGTCCTAAACATAAATACTCCCTCCGTCCTTAAAAAAACCTTAGGTTTCCGTATCCAACGTTTGACTATCCATCTTATATGAAATTTTTTTATAATTAGTATTTTTATTATTGTTAGATGATAAAACATGATTAATACTTTATGCGTGACTTATCTTTTCAATTTTTTCATTATTTTTTAAATAAGACGGACGGTCCAACATTGGACACAGAAATCCAAGGTTTATCTTTTTTTAAGTACATGAGTACTAACCTAGGGGTATTTTTTTTAAATATTTTGTACTCCCTCCATCTACTTTTGATAGACATATTTCCAAATCTTAAAATCTATTTTTGATAGGCATATTTCAATCCACAACCTATCATCTTAATGACTTTCTCAAATTTAATGTGTGACTCTCCATTCTTCTACATAAGATTGGCTACATAGGCATCGAGAAATGTAAATATTAATGAATCGTTTGTTTACGAGGAATAACTAGTAGTATGTTTAAATGGATGATAAGTATAATTATTTATCCTTGGTCTGTGTGCCAAGATGAAATATGACTATCAAAAGTAGATGATGGAGGGAGTATTTAGTAAAGTATAGGATAAAAAATACTATTAGGGGTGAAATGGAAATTTTTTTAGGAGTTGATGGCACGGGTAAGTTAGCAGGTGGCCATTGGGAATTGGGAGCAGTGACGTGCTCCATCCTCCATGCATGCAAATGCCCCGTCGTTCCACCTATGCTTTTTTTTTTGAGAGCCCACCTCTGCTTTCAATCCCAGTTCACTCTTATTCTCTCGTACTGCACCTACTGCGCTACTATTGTTGTGGCTTGTGCTTTCCAGCATGGATTTGGGCTGAGAAAGAACTGATGGATGAGGCCGCTTGCAAATGCAAGAGGTAACTGGCTTCTTTGGTCACTGGGTTCAAGGCTTCTTCAAGCTGGCCAGCTCTGCATGCATCACGGAGGCAGCGGAGGTGGCGTACGTGGTCGAACGGCAGCGGGTTAAGAGGAGCCATCGGGCTGACCGCCGGCCGTCCTGCCACCACCAGCTCCGTTGTCTCCGCCTCCGATCTCCGGCGACGAGCGGAGAGGTCGCGGTGGTGGCGGAAGGGTCGAGGGGGCGGTGCGACCGGCCGTGGTGGCGGAAGCGGCAAAGGAGGCTATCGAGGAGACGACGCGAGCGGTTGATCGCAGAGGCGGTACGTAAAGGAGGCCGGCGACAAGCAGAGCGGCGTTGAGCCGACCGAGCTGATCCCCGCGGATGTAGCGACGGCGTGGACCTCCGCCGCCGTCCCTACTCGTCTATATCAAGGCCCCGCGCGGGCGGGCCGTCGAGCTCCAGGACCAGCGCGGAGGTATCCCCTATGGCGCTCTCTATCTCAGCCGGCTCCCTCCAGTGTCGTCTACAACTCCGTCGTCGGATCAAGGCAGGGCGGGGCCAAGGAGCTCCAGGTCAATCGAGCTCGAGCTCATCGTCCCCGTTTTTGCCATCAACGCGACGGCATGGTGACTAGGAAAGGGGAATATATTGTTCTTGCCGGATTTTTTTTTCTGATTACGTTTTTTTTTTTTCATATACTCCGGACTGTTCTAGATAAGATTGTGCATTTTGTTAAAAACCCTTCTTAAACTTGCAATTTATATTTAGGTCCGCTAGGCCTTTTCTCACCGTTCGTATGTAATCGGACGGCTATGGGACGGTTCGAATGCGTGGCATGTTCTCCAGCCGAGAATCTGGTCGGTGAGCTATGCGTGATGCCACGTGGGCCAATCAATAGCAAGGGTTCTAACCCTGCAATCGGTATTAAAGATGACGTACGATAGTTTGTTTAAAAACATCATTAATTTTTATAATAGTAGAGATAAAAAGGGATAATTGCTCATTTGATCCTGTTCTAAAGCATAACTACTAATTTGACTCTACTTTTTAAAGTTTGCTCATTTTTCAAAATTAGAGTTGCCATCTGACCCTGGTTTCATCACACTGTTAGTGATGGCGGTGGCTCGACGAGGCGGAGGAGCGGCAGCAGCTCGACAAGGCGGAGGAGCGGCGGCGGTGGCTCAACGAGGAGGAGGAGTAGTGGCGGCTCGATGATGCGGGGGAGTGGGAGGAATGGCGGTGGCTCGACGAGGAAGAGGAGCGGCGGTGGCGGCTCGACGACGAGGAGGAGGGGGGCGACGACGGCAGGGTGGATCTGGCGAAGGCTCGGCGACGAGGCGATGGATCTGGTGTTGCCGAGGCACGCACGCGGCGCATCTGGCGGCGTCGAAAAGTGTGTGCGATGGATTTGGCTCCGGCGGGTCGGCGAAGGCGGTGCGGCGGTGGTGAGGTTCTGCGGGGAGGGAGGAGCACCAGCGACGGCGGTGCACGGTGAGACGACGATTGCTCGCGAAGGGTCGGAGCAACGGAGCCGGTGAGTAGAGGGAGGAGTGGTGGCGGCGGCTGCTTTGCACAGATGGGTTTGGGAGTTCGCCGTCGGCGGCACGGGTGTTCTGCTGCTTGACATGTTTTTTTCTTTTTTCTTTTTGTTTTTGGTAGCCATAAATTTGTGCCATATATTTGTGTTTGTGGCAATTTAATATATGCTAATAAGTGCACACAACTGCATTGAATAAAAAACTTTGAGATACCGGGTTAAATTCAAAAGGGTATAGATGGAACTTCCGTCTTGAGTTAATACCGTCATATTGCCTTCACGGAATAGGGTCAAGTCTCATATTCGTTTATAAAAAAGAGGGTCAAATGAGAAAACTCGAAAAAGTATGGCCAAATTAGTAGTTAGTCTTAAAAAAAAGATAAAAACGCAATTGCCCCATATAAAAATTAGGAGTAAAGTATACGGGCGGTCCTTAAACTTGTAGGGGTGTGTCATCTAGGTCCCTAAACTCTTAAAATGTATATCCAAGTCCCAGAACTTGTCATAGTGTGTCATTTAGGTCCCAAATCGCCACAACCCCATCAGGATCCTACGTGGCATTGATGTGGCTTGCCACGCGAACATGACGTGGTATTATTTTGACTGACAAATAGGACCCATTTAAATTTTTTCTTTTTTCTTTTCCCCCCTTTATTCTCCTTTCTCTATGACCTGAGCAGAAGAAAGGAAAGAAGAATGAGAAGAAAACAGAAAAGAAAAATAAAAATAAAAGAAGAAAATGACACGTCATGTCCACGTGGCATGCTATATCAGCGCCACATAGGATCCTAGAGGGGATGTGTCGATTCGGGACCTAGATGATACACTTTGATAAGTTCTAGGACCTGAATATGCATTTTGAGAGTTTAGGGAACTATATGACACAACCCTATAAGATTAGAGAACCACCAGTGCACTTTACTCAAAAAGTAGTAAATGTATTTTCTATACATCACATCCCGGGATTACTTTCTACGTATTTCGTTTAGTCTGTCCTTTCCTAATGTATCTGATCGATAGAGTAATTAGCTAAGCTAAGCTCACTTGATGGCGCTAGCAAGCAAGGCAACAGCAAAAGAAGAGGAGCTCGAAGGGCTAGCGGCGGTTGACTTTGAGGCCGCCTCGCACCGATCCGCGGATCGCTCCTCCCCCAAATCCCAATCGCGCTCCCTCGCCCGTCGCCCGTCGCCGCGCCTTCCTCTACCCCGTACCACCGCCGAAACCCTAGACCCTCGTCGCATCCGTCCTCGGCGGCTAGATCGGCGCACGCATTCATCTCCGGCCCGGCTGACGCTTCTTCCCTGGCTCGATTCGCGACCCAGTTGGGCCGATTTGGATCAGCAGCGGCCCGGCCCTCTTCTTAGCCCAATTCCAACAAACCCCCACTCGCCGCCAGCCTCGTCGGCCGCCAGCGGCGGAGCTCTCCCCCCTCCGGATACTCTTTCGAGCTTTCTTGGTAAGCCCCCCTTCGTCGGAGCGGTGATTCCTCTGCATTTCCCCCGTCTTCTTTTTTTTCCCCGGGATGCGATTGGGATCCGAATAATCTCTCCCGCGGGATCTATCTCGGCCGATTGGTGAGGCGTTTGTAGCTGCTAGGGCTCCGTGGTTCGGCCGCCCGCCTCTGTCGGTGGCGACATGTGGGGGGTTCTTTGTCCAAAACCCTCGTTCGGGCGCTGTCCAGATGCTTCGTTTCTTTTTCTTTTGTCATTTTCGGTCTCGGTGCTCGCTCCTCGCTGATGGTTAATGTGGCTGTTGATTGTTTCGCCCGCTGCTTAATTTGCTGAAGCAAGTAGCAACACATAAGGATAGTTCAATGTAGACCGTTCAATCCTTTTTGCGCGAATCGTCAGCTTGTATCCGTTCTTGCAGTGCAGGAGCACGTTTTGTTTCGTCTGACGGCTGTTCTTGAAAATCAGCGTTAGCGTTTAGCAATGTGCTGGATATCATGCATGATCCCTTTCTTTTCTTTTTGGGTTATAATTTTTTTCCTTTTGATGTATATATATATTGAGTATTGCATCTTTGTATAAGCTAATGTCCTTCTTTTTTTTTACTAACGTGGCAATTCCATCTGGTCAGGTGAATACAATCTTGTTTCTAGTCATGGCGAAGCAGGCCTACGCGACGAGCAGCCTCGTGATAGGATATGCACTCTGCTCGAGCTTGCTCGCGATCATCAACAAGTATGCCATCACCAAGTTCAGCTACCCTGGCCTCCTCACTGCCCTGCAGTACTTGACATCAGTGGCTGGTGTCTGGACCCTCGGAAAGCTCGGACTCCTCTACCATGATCCCTTCAACCTCCAGACCGCAAAGAAGTTTGCGCCGGCTGCACTTGTGTTCTACCTTGCCATCTTCACCAACACCCATCTCCTGAAGCATGCCAATGTGGATACCTTCATAGTGTTCAGATCGTTGACCCCGCTTTTGGTCGCCATCGCTGATACTGCCTTCAGGAAGCAGCCATGTCCTTCCAAGCTCACATTTGTGTCCCTTGTCACTATTTTGGGAGGCGCTGTTGGTTACGTGATGACAGATTCGGGGTTCAGCCTCACAGCCTACTCATGGGCAGTCGCTTATCTGGTGACTATAACAACTGAGATGGTGTACATCAAGCACATGGTTACAAAGTTGGGCCTGAATACATGGGGTTTCGTGCTCTACAACAATCTTCTCTCGCTGATAATTGCTCCTGTATTTTGGTTTTTGACTGGAGAGCACTTGTCAGTCTTCAGAGCCATTGAATCAAGGGGCCAGAGTTGGTTTGAACTTGATGCCTTTGTGGCAGTTTCCTTGTCCTGTGTGTTTGGGCTGCTCATTAGCTTCTTTGGTTTCGCAGCAAGGAAAGCAATCTCCGCCACGGCTTTTACAGTAACAGGTGTTGTCAACAAGTTTCTCACAGTTGCAATCAATGTTATGATCTGGGATAAGCATGCGAGTTCATTTGGTCTGGTTTGCTTGCTCTTCACTCTGGCTGGCGGGGTACTCTATCAGCAATCAGTTACATTAAAAGGGAATTCTTCAGTGCAGCGTGAGGCTGTAGCTAAGCAAGGGAAGGCTGATAATGATACAGCTGAGTTAGATGAGGAGAAGCAAAGCTTGGTATCATCTCCAAAGGACTCTAATGTCTGAAGGCTGAACTACAATATTTCCAGCATATATGCAGTTTTGTTCTTTTGTTTGGATATGCATCGGATGCTTCAAGATTATCATAATCATATCCCATAGGAAATTCAAGAGGTAGTATTGTTGTTGTAGCATGGTACCTGCACTCACATTACAGTTACACTTTTACTTCAAAACTTAGATGTGTTCATGTTCCCTGTTGTTCTCTAAATTACTCATGTGGTTTTTATAGGATAACATGTTTTCTTCATGAAAGTGTCATACCTATTTCTGTTTTTCTAGGTGTTCTATTGCTTATGGGATAGCTTAGTGCTCCCTCATCAACATACAGCTGTAATGGTTAATCATTTCCATCTTAGAAAAATCTCAAGCTAATAGAAGAGTGAGTTAGGTACTTAGGTTTATGGTATTACTTTGAAAACGCAAACATGAATACAACATTAGCTTGTCAATGATAATGCAAGAAGACACCATCTCCTTTCTGACATTGTATACCTATTGGAGTGATGATGCTTTTCGGACAATTTTAATTGTTCAGCACTACTTTGTATGGTTATATACTGTTTCAAAGTTCAAATGCCAATGATCTAGTGCTTCGCATATGTGCACTTCCATGTTCAATCTTAATGCGAACTAAGTGATGTTTTGGTTCCAACGTTCAGTTGATCGTGAAATTCCCTTATGACCTTATCTTACAAATTCAGAAGCAGAATTCAGGAAACCAATGTAATAGCTGGTACCACCAATTTCTTGAAATGTTGGTGCCCATCTCCAGAACTTCTCAAGTATGACGATTCCAATATTTTTCGCCTGTTATTTTTGTCTGCTTTAACTGATTTTAATATTCAAGTACAAATTTTGTATCAAGATTTTTTGGGAGCTATAGTGGATATCACTGAAACAGGTGAAAAATAGTTTGACCATGCAGCTGTGTTTCATTCACCTTAAATTGTTTGTTGAATCCTATTCACAATCGGCAGGTTTATCGCCTAGGTTTTCATTAAATTGATATACATTATGTTCTGCATTTAACAATACAATACAAAGGATATATACCATGGAAAGAACAAACTAGCTCTGTTTTCTAAACTGGCACTTTGACACAAAGGCATGTATGACATTCGATAGCAACATAAACAAGATGACCACCCAGAACAACAAAAAGGAAAAAAAAACAATTCGTTCTCCATTTATATTTATATGATATTCATATAAGCAATGTAGCAGCTGAAGTAACTATTCTGACATAAGGGGTTGAGTTAGCTAGCACAAATAATCAGTAGATTTTGGCATCGTTTCAAACACAAAATTTGAAGGAAATTACATACCCGCTTAAGGTTATTTTGCAAGAGTTTCACATGGCACTCCACTAACATCCTCCATTTCTTACATCAAGTTTGCAATAAAATTCCCTAAAATTCTATCCTCCCGTTGTAGTACTATTCATACAGTGGGTTCATATTGAACCCCATCTCTCCTACTTCAGAGAACTCTGTAATTCTTTTTTTTTTTGAACTTAGAACTCTGTAATTCTGAACCTGCTAATCTCTGAAGTATTGGATGGGGGAACAGGGGATGCGATAGATGGACGGCTGAGATTGCTCCATACCGGTTCACTGATGTGAATCCAACGCTGAAGAGCCGCTAGTAGTAATTATTGTTTCTGTAATCGTGGCCGAAAAGGGAATGGCTTGAGACTGAAGCGAGCTCAGCTATTTTGTATCCTAGCAGTGGCGCACTCCATATAAGCCGATCAAATCCACGTATTTGGGTATCAAGAATATAAACCCTAACTCTATCTTTCACTTGTCTTGCGGCTACCACTTTCGATTCCTTGCAATTTACTGTTAAATTCCCTATTTTCCCTTCCAATCCGAACCCAGATAGGTAGCTACTAGCCAAATCTGAAGAAACGTTCAGACTTGGGTGTGAATTCAGGCTCGGGTCCTGACAATTTGGTATCAGAGCCAGTCTGGTTCTTGACCAAGCCTGTGGATCGAGTGTTCTTGACTGATGAGGGTTGAGAGAATAAGTATCTCCTGTGAAATTCCGTAACCAGGTCAAGGAACTTAGTTAGAGGCGAAATTGGAGTAGGAACAAAGAGGGTTGGGGAGATTCGTTCTCTTTGTAAAATCTCCGGATTTGTTCTTATTCACCATGGTGAGGGGAGCAAAGGTGGTGGATCAAGTAGTTGAGGAGGAGCCGGAGTGGGTAGCTGTGGTGAATCAATTTGGAGGAGTTTCAGAGGAAATCTGAAGAAGACATCAAGTTCTTTCACGAGCTGATCCAGAATCAAGGGATGCAAGCTCAGGCACATAAGGATGAGGTAATGCAAAACTTGAAAGTGATACAGGAGATGTTGGGGCTGTCCAAGAGTTGTCAGGGAATCGAAGTAGGAGAGACTTCAAGAATACCAGGGGTCGGTTTCTCGATGACACAGAAGGCAAAGGCAGCTAAAGGCAATGCTTTGTTTCCTCCAAAGGCGTCTGCTTTTGATTTTAGGAACATTTCTTGTTTGATGCCTGTGACTGATTTTGGGATGCATCCGCTTCAGCTAGTTTGGGTAGTAAAATTTTCACTCCAACGGTTCATGCCACTCCAACACAGAGTCATAATGTTGAATGGAATACATCAGTATTCTTTGACACACCTCCTGCCATGCCACCACCACCACCTCCAATTCCACCACACAATCCATTCCCACCAAATTGGCAAGGCACCCCACCTTACAATCATCTAAATTCCATGCATCGACCTTTTATTTCACCATACTACTACCCTCCCTACCCACCCTATCAACCCCCTTGGGGATTTCACCATGTCACTCCACCAATACAATCAGGACCATTGGATAGAGGACATGGTCCTTATCCTAGGCCGATGTGCCCTCCCTGCCTTTACTGCTATTGGAAGATGATAAGATGGTCCCACACGCTGACTGAAGCGAGTCATTCATAGTTAAATTGTCAAGTCAGCAAAAACCGTTTCCAAAACCACTGTAGGAGTTGATTTGCACCGGTTTTAAAGATGGAGTCGTTATACCTAGCTTTGTGATTGGGGGTATGATTTGATCATTGGCAACATATGGGAGGCAAAATAGGGTGACAATTGTAAATTTGAAAAATGATATTTTTAGTTATTTTTTAAAAAAATCGTATGAAAAGTTTTTAAAGATTGCATGGTTTAACAATTAACACTTTGATAAACGTGCTATGGTAATTGAGGAACTGGCTCACCCAATATGCAGAAAAGAACACAGCCTAGGTCATTGGTCACCAACACACATTACATAAAGAGAATCTAAAAAATGCTATCGACAAACACACAAATCAAAGAAATGCTATCGACGAGTGTGAGTTCTATAAAGTACTATCATATAAGCGATTTTGTCCAAAAAATATCATCGCCGTTAGAGTTTCGTCCATCCCGCGTCGTTAAATGCATTGTTTATCCTATAGCACTTAACGGAGAGCTGTTAGGTGTGTTATTTTTAGGATAAAGTCGCTTGTATAATAACATTTCAAGAACTTGTACTTGTCGATAACAATTTTTTTAATTGAACATTTGTCAATGATATATTTTGGATTTTCTCTTACATAAGACGGGGACCGGTCAATCCATAAAAGACACAGCATATTGTTTCGTACACAGCCCACATAGGCATATGAAGTGAGTCACATTGTTACACAAGGGAATGTGTTACCCGTACATCATTAAACATTAACAAAAAGAAGCTTTCGGTATCCTAAAAAAATGACACCTCAAAGTTGGGAGTCATTGCTCATAATAGCTTGTTTGAGAATCTGGCTATCACATTCCAAAATGATTTTGTTCAAAACAATTGAACTTGCCGCCTGGATCGCCCTTCTGCTTGGACAGCGTCAAAGGGCTTTTCACAAAAGCTGATGAGATGGACGGAAGGGATTGGCCCTTCTGTTTTTTTACACAATCTGACGAGGATGTATGCCCCGGATTTTGGAAACAAAGATGTTGCAATCAACCAAATCAGGTACAAATCAACCATGTTTCATTAGGAACAAGGCAGCTCTAGTAGTCACACAAAACATTTAACTCACACTAACAAGATACACCTTCACAAGATTATTGAATTATGGCATTACCAATTGGATACAATCTGCACAAAGTTTCATGTGACATATAGAGTTACCAAATAGGTTTCAAATTTTTTTCCCGAAATGGGAAAAAAAGTCAGACCAATACAGAGCACAACTCACAAATATCTTATATCCCATGAGGAAATACATAGCATGCAAGATTGCACAGAACATAACTGCTCCAATGAAACAAAACTCACAGTATTATATTCCTAAGGAATGTACACCAACATAACTTCTCAGTTGTTTTGTAATTTTTTTTAGAGGAAAGGCCACGCGAGGCCCTGCATTTTATAGAAAGCATGAAGTATTTGCAAACTGATCCTTATATAGCGCTGGGGTCGCCAGCTTGACATATAGGCACAGAAAACAAAAGCAGAAGGGTGAAAGGGATCAACCCTCACAACATCACAACCTTTCAGAACAAACTGACTGAGCAGCAGCAAAACACACTAACAGGAAGGAGAAAAAAAAAACAGATCCTAAAGAGAAGGCTAACCAATTCCAGCTCACGAAGGTCGCAGGGCATCAATTGCTTCCTGAATCGCCTTAGTTGTTTGTTCCAGGGTAGGTACTTCTTCCAGCTTCAGCAGAATCTTCCACTGCAGTAGCAAGCCAATCAAACGAAAAGGAGCCATTAGTGATGATGAAACCATTTTATTCCTAAGGATCATGTCGTTTCGAATTGACCAAAGGGACCAAACTAAAGCAGCCAAAAGCATGAAACCCACTTTAGAGGTTTTTGAACTTGTTTTTCCTAACATCAAGAAAAAATCATCAAAATCATGGGGGATCCTGCTCCACCCAAGGGGCATCTGACCTCAAACGAATCTAGCAAAATAATCTTGTTGGATGCATATCTCAAACAGATTAGGGAAAGAAATTTTTAGAGGGCAGTTCCCAAACCAAGTGTCTTTCCAGACAGAGATATGTTTGCCAACACCCATTACCCAGGTACATATCTCAAACAGATATGTTGCATTGCAATTTTAGTCCTTGAAGAATACATCATTGAAAGTTCAATATAATAGGAAGTATTAGCATCTGTTTTAGTACTAGTGAGTGATGTATTGGTGTGTACTAATATCACTAAATGATACTCCCTCCGGGCTGATAATACTTGTCGTTTTGGACAAGGGCACGGTCTCCAAAAAACAACTTTGACTCTTATTTTCTATTATAATAGGTATAAAACTGTTAACAAATATATGATCTTATTAAAGTACATTTTAAGACTGATCTATACATGTTGTCACCATATTTGAAAGACAAATATTTTAAAAATAATTGATAATCAAAGATTTTAAAGTTTGACCTCACCCTTGTCCAAAACGACAAGTATTATCAGCCCAGAGGGAGTAGCTTCTGATAGATAATTTGACTAGACCACAGAATCAGTAACAAGAAAAATTTGATTGTATTAAATATGCAGGAACTGTAGGACGTAGCTCATGGCAGTTGCCCAGCAGCCCAGGTAGTTATAGCAAAGTGTAATTGAACATATAAACTGTCCCATATTCATGAATCATGATTCAAGTTACGACTTTAGTGAAATACATGCAGGCAATAGAAATGAGGCTCTTTTAATATACGAAGAACTAATTTACAGGATGAATATATCTGAAGAAACCATGTAATTGCCATATCATTTGTGAAGATGACCGTGGAACAATTCTGAAAACAATCTTTCAAACCCACCAACTACAGCTACAATTGACACAGATTGGGCAACAAAACTAGAAACCACATGGACACTTCTTTATTCCAATCATGGCATTTAGATAATAAACGCCAAAAGAACATGGTTCAGTATTTGCAGAATAAAGGACTCCCTTAAATGCACGGCTTACCTGAAGATGCATAAGATCTACTATTCTACTCTATTAGTAAGTGAGATCAGATGGGATTCATTTGCCAGCTGAATATGTCAACTTCTACAAGATTCAGTCATAATCTCACAGCAAAACATGCGTTTAAACACATTAAAAGTGCAAATTACAAAAGTCTGGTCATCTATGCGTACCAGAAGTCCCCTAGCCGAGTCAAGAAGAATGAATGCCAGTTGATCTCAAAGGACACAGCCGTCATGTAGTTGAACCAGCGTTTCCAATCGTCCACACTGGTAATCGACCCAGATGGGAGGTCGAGCACATATGCGCTGTTAGGGTCCGAAAGGTAGAGGGTGAGCATGGTGCCACTCTCCTCCCCTATGCACACAGTGGAAAGCGACTCCGTTCCAAACAACCCCATCTTCACGCCAACACAAATCGATTGGGTGCAATTCCAGAGCAAACGACCACTCTCCTGTGTTTCTAGCTTGGTCCAAATATGAAGTTTGTTGTCACAAAGATAAAGAAGCGAAAGCCTCTCGTCGACGCTTACGTACAACCAAGATTGGTGGAAGACAGTGGGGGGAGGATCAATTGGGATATTGGTTGCGCCGATGTTGTCTGTGTCAATGCTCACATCAAGGGTGTAGAGGCTTTCTTCTCCCCAACTGAAGAGCCAGTGTGCGCCGCCATGGCTGACAGCTGCAACTCTGTTTCCAGAGGGACCCCAGACATAGCCCCGGATTTGTTCAGAGCAATTTCTGGGCGTGCTCCAGGATATCTCAAAAATGACCGCCGCCGCGGCGGCACTGGCAGCGGCTGAGGAGAATCTGTGGAGGTATACCTGATGGTTGCCATGGTGGATGCTGAGGAGGAGCACCTGGAAGAAGGTGTTGTAGCCACCTGATGGGTTGCGGCTGACGCGGTGGTCGGCGGCTGTGAGGATGGCGTAGCCTCTGGCGCCGTCTTTCTCGAAGCAATCCATGGGTAGAGGGGGCAGGACGTCGTGGCTGCCGGTGAGCAGGTTGCAGACGCAGAGGTGGAGCGCGTTCTGCGGCGCCGGCGAGGGCGAGGGGAGGACGCGCACGAGGAGGAGCCCGCCGCGCGCCGCCAACGGCTTGGCCTGGTCGAAGAGGCCGGCGCCGGCGGCGTTGCGGACGAAGTCGGTGAGGAACAGCCGCCGCCGCCGCCCGGTGCTAACGGGTGGGTCACCTGTGCCCCTGCTCGGCGCTGCGACGAGCGGCGGCGCGCGGGTCGGGAAGAGCTTGGTGAGCTTCCGCCTCGCGTTGGCCTGGATCTGGTGGCGCTGCGCGAAGAAGCCGAGGAGGGAGGGCACCCGGGTGCCCGGCGGCCAGCGGCGGCGGAGTAAGGCCTGGTCGGCGATGAGGCGGAGCCACCGCTTGCACGCTGCGGCGCAGCGGAAGAGGGACGTCGGGTCCGGCACCCGCGCGAGGATCTCGATGACGACGTCCTCCGGAATAACCGGCACCGCGGCGGCGGCGGCGGCGCCCATTTCCGCCATTTCCGAGTGGGCGAGGCCGGCGACGAAGCGGCGGCGGCGGCGGCCCGAGGTGATGCGGAGAGGTAGAGGCCCAGACATAGTTGGGCCGGGCCGGGCCGGGCCTAGTTTATAGTTGGTCCGGGCCGGGCCAAGTTCTGTTGATGATTGGTCCTCTCGGCTCTCTAGCATGAGAAAATTGACATTTAGCCATTCTCGGATTGGGGTTTCGCTAGAATGCCATCCCCGAACGTGGCTTCGTTATAATGCCATCTTCAAACGTCACCATCTTGCCACATTGCCATTTCATCCAATTTCGGTTATTTGCAAATGTTATCCACTATGATCGGACTTTTTTGCCCCTATGGCTATTTCGTTGACTTGCATGAGAGGGACAGATCGATCTCCATCCAGTCGTCTTCTTCCTCTAGCAATCGCAGCCGGACGGCAAGCATAGCTCGGACGTGCTCCCAGTCCCAGCGCTATCGCAACCGAGCTCTAGCAGTCGGCTGCGCATCTTCTCCGGCACAGCGAACCCGACGCTGGCGCAGGAGGTGGCGTGCTATCTTGGCATGGAGTTGGGTCGGGTAAAGATCAAGCGGTCCACGGACGAGGAAGCGTGCGTGGTTGTGACATGTTCCTGGTACAGGCCACCTGCCTACCGCCCAACGAGAACTTGATGGAGCTCCTCATCATGATCGACGGACGGCCGCCGCGCATCTTGCGGTTTGGGCGGCAGCAGCAGCACTAGTATGGCTATCGATCTCGCCAGCCATGGCGGAGCTCGCCATTGAAGAGGGACTTCAAAATCCACAACGGAATTAAGCCGATTTGAGTGGGATTTGTGGGGGGAATTGATGAGGAGGATGAGAGGAACCGATTTTTACATTCAATTTGGGGCGAGAGCAACCGAGGAGGGAGATCAAGAGAGGGCATTGTTGCATGAGTTCACCGGAAGAGAGAAGGATGGTGGCGGGCGGAGGTGGAAGACGCTCCTGGCGAGCGGGCCCCACGGTGGAAGGATCTTGGTCGGTGCGTGGAGTGGCTGAAGCAAGGGCATTTGGGTCAAACCAAATAAGCAAAACAATGGAAAATATTTGCAAATAACTGAAATTGGCTAAAATGCCAGTGTGGCAAGATGGGGACGTTTGAAGATGGCATTATAACGAAACCACATTCGAAGATGGCATTCTGGCGAAACCCCAACCCGAGGATGGCTAAATGTCAATTTTCTCCTCTAGCATAGTGCCATGCCACTGTTCCAGAAATGAATTTAACCATGTTTTTATCTAAATCGACATATTATTTTTTTTCTTTGAATTCAGACCACAAATCAATGTATATGCAGATACCCTAAGGTATAAACAATGTTACAGTGGTTCTCTAAAATCTACAATCTACAGCTAAACATGCTTACAAACATTGCGAGATTGCTAATCTACGCAGCTTCATGGTTACCACACGGTTTTTGGCCCGTAGACCAGGCACATCGTGCGGGATCCGCACTTCGCTTTTATGGAATCGTGAACATCTCTCCTAGGATCTCTCCTAGGAATAAGTCCGCTTACCGTCCATCAACTTTACGTGAGTCTGATAGATATGCCTAATCCTAAATACTAAATACTAGAAATCTTCACTTCTAAGCTAATACAAAACCATGCTACTCCCTCCGGGTTGGTTTTATTAGTCATTTCGGACACAATTTCGAAAACCAAGAAGTCATTAAGCAGGGTTCTTGTTTCCTATTTTGTCCATATTAAATACGGTTGGGTGTAGCATTCAAACAAGCAACTACTACTCTCTCAGTTGGTTTAGTGCATCCATCTTAGTTGGTTAGATTGTGTCACACCTAGAAATTCACGAACCAGAATTTCTAAGCTGAATGTGCATTAAATCCCTGTCCAGGACCAGCCAGGGTACACAAACGACAATTGTTGACATACAGATCCACGTCTTACAAAAATATAAAAGATTATAAATGCAGCGGAAAAGATAAAACGAGCTAGACTTGGAAAGTTGACTTCAGCAGCGGGGCAACTCCACTCCATAGGCAAACCTTGACGGCAGCGACGAAACCAACCTCTCTGAGATGACTCCAACTGAGAAGAACTTCAACTCTGGTGTGGGGGAAAAGAGAGCAAGACTGAGTACTACCCACTGTACTCAGCAAGTCATACCGGAAGAGTAGGTATGATACAGGATATAACCAAAGGAGGCTAGAGATTCTTTTGCATAAAGCAGGCATTTCAAAGCAGTAGTTGAAAACAGTGAAACGATTGTAGTAATTAAGCAGTATTAACCAAATCACTGTCCAATGTTACACCACGCTGCAACAGGCCCAACCAACCACCTGAACTACACCAGTTCAATAAACTAAACTAGGGGTGAGACTAATCACGGTGAATCTGGTGATCGCCCATAACCGCGGGCACGGCTATTCGAATAGTTTTACTCTGGCCAGAGGTGTACAACTGTATCCACAAGACACGATTCCACACATGTCACCATGCCCCGAAGTATCACCATGATACTGCAAAGGGGGAAATCGTGACAAGACCCTCCGCATAACCCTCCCCTAACCATCCACACCACGCTAAGGTTTCACCCCCACCCCTCAAAAGGCAGTGGGCGGTCCCCTCTTGTGCCGCGGTGAATCCAGCAGCTGGACAACCGGACACCCCAGCCGACCCAACTCCATCACGCCCACCCTCGCCACCGGTGCCTAGAAAAGGGTCGAGCTATACTTCAGATCAAGCAGTTACCCACTCCCGCTTGTGGTAAGCACGGTAAGTCTCTCAGGGTTTCCCGTGAACCGGTCCTTAACTGCCATGGGTGCGACCAGCAAAACTATGCACCCACAGCCCACCATTCAGTGTATTTTATTTACCTAACACCATTGCGGTGGCACCAATCCAAAGCTATGCTCATGGTCATAGTCAATGTAATAATGTGATCCCCATTTGTGTACTAGTTGAACTAAGCATGGCTAAGCATTTCCTAAACCAACATCTAGTCATTTTGATACCCAAGTTATCAATGGCATATGGTAAACAATAAACGGCTGAGTAATAGGACCCATCCCACATGACATTGCAAAAGAATGCAACATTTAACAGAAATGCGAGATATTGGTAAATTGGGTACAATATGATCAAACGTATTGCATGACTTGCCTTGCTCTCGAACTGATGAGACCACAGCAACGTCTTCGAGAAACCGCGGATCGACGAAACGGCCGAAATCTACGCGACAAACAAAGCACGCAAGCAAAACATGCTATAAGACTACTGAAACAGGAAACCAAACCATTTTTAATGGATTCTTTGCATTTTTCTTGATTTACTGAGACTTGAATGGACTTAAACGGAGCTCGGATGAATTACTTATGAATTTTAGAAGATAAACTGTGTTTTTACTAATAAAGAAAAGTCCTTAATTATTTATTGTGCAATAAATGCCCAGGGCTGACGTCAGCGAGGGGAGGGGGAGGCGCCGACAAGTGGGGCCCACGGGTCAGTGGCTCAAAGGGGGTGGTCCGCCGTGGACCGAGTCCATGGGGCCGGGGTGGGGGTGTACCACGTGGCGCCGACGTGGCACCACGTGGCTGGCCACGTGGGCCACGGGATGGACGGCCACGATCGGTCGAGGGCCGATCGGGCGGCTGGGGACGGGCGGCACCGAGGCTAGCCCGGGCATGGCGCTCGGGCACAGCATGGCCGGCCCGGCCATGGCGCGCGGCGGCTCGGCGCGGCCACCGGCGGCGAGCGGCGGCGCACGACGGTGAGCGGCGGACAGCGGCGGCGCTAAGCGGTGGGCGGCGCGACAAAGAGAGAGAGAGGAAGGGAGGGAGACCGGTCCTCACCGAGGAGGCGGTGGCGGCCGGCGCGGGGAAACAAAGGCGGCGGCGACGACCGGCGACACGGACGGCGGACGGGCGGCGGCAACACCTAAAGAAGGTGAGGAGAGGAGTTAGGGATGGAGAGGACGATCGCGACGATCAAAGTGGCCAGCCGGAGATGGATAAAAATGGAGAGCTCACCGGCGACGCGAGGGAATCGGAGCTCCTTTGGCGATTCGCGGCAATCGAGCGACGAACAAGCAGCGGCCGGCACCGGGGATCGCGATGGCGGCGGTGGGGAGGCTATACGACGGCCCTAGCGGCGACTAGCGGCTGCCGAAGGCGGCGGTAGGCGGCGACGCGTCGGGAGAGCGGTACGGCGACGGCGCACGGCAAGCGAGTGATGGCCGATGTAGCCCTCGCAGCGGCAGAGCTAGCGACGGCGGTGGCTTGGCGCGGCGGCGGTGCTAGCGGCGGCGAGCGGTGGCTGGAGGTGGCTAAAGGGCAGCGGCGACGGGTGTGACGGCGGCGGCGCGATAGAGTGCACGGGGAAGGGAGGCGAAAAGGGGAAATGTGAGAGGAGGACGCGAGGTTGCTTTTTGAAAGCATGGGGAGGGTGGACAAGACCGGGAGGCGGCCGGATTTCTCGCCGACGTGGAGGATGGAGAGAGAGAGTGGGGGGATTCGAATTGAATCCCGCTCTTGCGGGCGCGCGCGCGTGAGCGGGGAAAGGCGGGGCGTGGGGGTGGCGACGTGGGGGCGTGGAGCGCGGAGTGGGCGCGAGAGAAGCGGGGGAAGCGGCGGCGATGGGTGGCGGTTTCGGCGGCGGCGGTTGAGGGAGGCCGCCTCTCCGGCTGGAGGTTAGGGGCGAACCCGACAGGTGGGCCCCACCTGTCGGCGCCCGGGTGGAGAGGGGGAGGCCGGATGGACTTCGGCGGGTGGGGGAGGGAAGAAATGGGCCGGCGGCGCAAAGGGAGAAAAAAAGGAGGAAAAAGAAAAAGAAAAAGGATTTTTCCTGGGATTTAAAATTGCACATGCTCATTTTTAAATGGGTTAAAATTATTTCCAAGGTTCTGAAAATTCCACTAAAAATCCTGTTAATATATTGGAGCATGGGGAACTCAAGAAAAATTCTACAAGCTATTTCCGATTATTAATTGCATTTATTAATTATGGAATTAGCTCTAGGTTAATGAAACAATTTCTTCGCGCAATTTATTTAACCATTTTTTTAAAGCAAGGAAAAAAGGGGGAAACTTCAGGGCGTGACATATAGGTGCACACCTTTTTTTCTGTCTTGGTGATTAAGTCGGCGACCACGTGCACTTTCTCATCGGCAGCGTTGTCTATGGAGTCGGCAACCACGACCACTT